AAATATTAAAAAAAATTATTTTACCAAAATCGTATTTTTTTATTAACTTTGATGTCAACCTTCACCACGAAGACAAGTCCAGAGGTCAAATTTTTTTTTTTCAAATTAAAGTATATTACATTAGCTTTAATTTAAGATATATATAAAAGTGTCNATACTTCTACTAATTCTTCACTTCTACCAGTTAATGTACCAACATTCCAAGTACCTATTCTTACTTTGTATCTATCTTTCTTCCTTATATACGAGTCCAGCCTAGAGTTATGTGGTGATGTCTTTACACCGTAGATACTACAAGAGTTGAGTAGACCTGTACACGTGATTTGTGAATAAGCTACCGCACAAGTTATCCGGTTAGTATCAAACACTTTATTCCTTAGGCCTTCTCCGTTTTTAACTACTTTATTCCCTCTCACCAGTTGTTCCCACGTACATCCGAGATTATTAATTTACATCAGAGCAATTCGCCTTAATTTTGCTCAAGACACCTCATACTATTTGACAAAAATTTTACGCCGGCTGTCGACCAGACGCAACCTCATTAGTCGCCTCTTACGACTGGTAGAGGAGCCGTGGAAATATTCTTATCCCCTATCCACAGGGAACTAACTTATTAGTTAATTTTTTGTGAAAAAGTTGTCATTTTAAATCCCCCCCTGTGGGCAGAAAAAAAGTCAAAATTACAAAAAAAATATACCAAATAATAGGTAAAGACATCAAGCATCTATATAAAAAAAAATTATATTCATATGTTCATTTTTGAAAAAGTTACGGCACATTTTAGTAAAAAAAATTGAAAAAATTTCGAAAAATAACGATTTTTAAATATGTAATTTTTTTGGAGGTTTCCCCCATTTACGGGGAAAGAGGGAAATTTTTTCAATTTTGAAGGGTAATGTCTTCGACTAGATACAATTTGTGATCTTTTGACGTATCGTTGAAAGAAATCCGTTCAGTGAGAGCTGAGAAAAAGTGGTAACAGACACAAAAAAAAAAAAAA